ATGGCAGCTTCAAGGCACCTGGATTTGGGAGTCAGGCAGTATCTCTTCTTCCTCTGTTTTATTTAATTGATTGCCAGGGACTTGCTCAGAGCCAGGGTTGGTGGGAGCTATACAAAAAAAAAAAACAAAACAAAACATGAGGCTGCTCACCAGAGGCCTGTCTTCTGAGACTATCATGAGAAACAGTTGGCAGCTTCCTAGGAGCCACAATGCTAGTTGTCAGAAGTCAGATGTGAATTGCTTCCTTTACTATTCTTAACCTATGTGAAATTCTAAAATTCATAGCAACCTTGTGCTCATGAGGCTCTCAGAGGGTATTAAAAGTGGATGGTAGGAAGCCGAGTTCGCTGAAGAATTAGCACCTATAGTGAAGCCCCTGTTGATGAACCACAGATCAGAAAACACTGTGACTGTGGAGAGAGAGAATGCCGCAGGTGGAGAACCAGTTATCTTAGGCTATCTTGGTCCCTTCCACAGACATTTACTTTAACCCCTATATCTGATCTAATATCCTTGTGAGTATTCTGTAAAACTCTAGAGATGTACCCCTAAGATTGGTAGACCTGCAGCTTCCACCAACGCCAACGCTAGGATTGCTTTGTCTGAAACCTACAGCAAAGATGTCTCCACATTGCTGCAGCCTGCCTACCTGACACCTTCACCAATGTCTTAAGTAATGCATCAATTCATGACCTTCCTCATCTTATGGTTAGAAAAGCTCATGTGACCTCTTCCATGACAAAACCCATCACTTGTAATAACCAGAATCCATGTTTTGGGGCCATGGTAATTCATATTTGGATGTGAAAAAGAAAGCCAGTTTCTTACTTCCCTTAAAGTTGGTGTTTCTACATTTGACTGGCATCATCTTTGAAAAACAAAGGGACTAGAAAGAGGTCTCAAGATGCTAATGCAGGAGAGCAGGCTGTAGCACAGACTGGCTCAAGAGAACCCTTCTTTCCCCTGGGATCTTCCGAGAATGGCAAAGTATGTTCCCTCCAGTGCAGTGTGAGGGGAGAGGAACAAGGATTCGGAATCAGACCTCGCCAAACACACACAAAACCTTCAAGTTATTAGTATAAATAAATTTAGGCTCATAACAAAACCCCACAATGAAAAAAAATTTTTTATTTGTTTTTATTTTATGAGTATGAGTATTCTGCCTGCAGGTATGTAAGCACCACAGGCTTGCAGTGCCCACAGGAGACAGAGGGCATCTGATTCCTCTAGAACTGGAGTTATGGGCAATTATTTGCTACCATGTGGGTGCTGGGAACTGAATCCAGATCCTCTGCAAGAGCAGCCAGTGCTCTTAACTGCTGAGCCATCTCTCCAACCCCGCCCACAACTTTTTTTAATAAACATCAGCATACACCACCTATTTTGAGGCACTCCTTGAAAGTCTGGTCCCTCATGAATTGCATAACCTGGGAACTTATGAACTGTGAAAGGGTGCTATGAGAGCTGGTCTTTGACTCTCCCAAAACCCAAAGGAGCTGCTTTAATATAAAGAAAGTAGTTAAGTTAGGTGTAGCAGTACATGCCTATAATATCAGCACCTGGGAGGTTGATGAGTAAGAGGATTGCAAGTTTGAGGCTAGCCTGGGCTCAAAAGCAAACAAGCAAAACACCCCAACAACAAAACCCAAAGTAAAGGATATTAAATTCTAGTGGATTAAAGGACACACAAGATATAAGTATCTCAGACACCAGCAGGAACTGGTTGACTACCATATTCACCCTTCTCCCTAGTCAAATCTGGCTCTCTTCCTATCCTGTCCATATTTAGTAATGCCTGCCCAACAGACCTCCCTACGTCTTGTCCTCACAAGTACATCTCTATTACAAATACCTGTTCTCTGAGCACTATGCATCTGGGAAGCTGATGGAAGCACAATAACAAGACCACTTAGAGTGAGGTGAGGAAGGTTGTTCTCAGAGAACAACCATCAGCCTAAAACACCAGTCTAAGCGAGCCAGAGAAACATAACTGAGCCAGCCTCAGAACCTGTCAGTCTCCCGCTGCTGTGTCAAAACACCTAAAAGAATCAAATTTCAAGGAGGAAATGTTTACTCTGGCTCAGTTTCAGATTTTCAGTCCATGGCCATTTGGCCTGATATTTGGCTTATGGAAATGCAATACATCACAGCAGAAGCACAGAGTGGAAGAAAACTGCTCATCTCATGATGGCCAAGAAGCAAAGAAAGAGGCAGGAAAGGGCTAGGGTCCCAGTATCTGCTTCAAGGATAGGCAAAGGTCTGACTTCTGCCCAGTAGGCCCTACCACCTAAAGGCTCTACCAGGTCTCAATAGCGCCACAGGCTGGAGACCAAGCCATGGGCCTCTGGGAATATTCACAACCCAAACCATGAGCCCTCTTCTCTTTTTGACACAGTAGGTCTGGCAGATTACAGTACTGCATGCAGCAACTCATCCTCATGTGGGAGAACAGCACAGTTCTCCATGCCACAGCATGGCTCCCAGTGCCTTCTGGTGACAGAAATGAGCTTTTCTGGCTGACACTGGGCTTTGATTTGTTTTGGCTAGTTGCTTTGTATACATTGTATTTCCACCTGAGGTTTTTTTTTTTTTTTCCCCCCTTTCTCTGTTAGAGTGATCTGTTCCAGCCAGGGGCCACCCTTGAGCCCATGTACTGGAATGAGAAGACTCTTGGAACAGGGTCTTGGTCTTAGCCAACCATAGGAAGCAATATGAGTTTAAAGACCACATGGATGCCTTTGACACTGATACTCAGAAGTGATTGCAGCACAACCTAACAAAAGCTAACTAAGGCACCAGGGGTCATAAATAGTGCTAATGGACAAGCAAAGCAGACAAAGGTAGGGTACGGATGGCAGGACTGCACTGCTGCCAGATGGACAGACTCAGCCACAGGGTGCGTTCTAGCATCAAACTTTGTTACGGGTTGAAGTTTTAAAAGCTGTTGATTTTCCACCATAGGTTGTATTTATCTATCTATCTATCTATCTATCTATCTATCTATCTATCTATCTATCTATCTATTTATTTTACATTTATTATTTATGGGGGAGCGTGCATGTGCCATGGAGTGAATATGGTCAGAGGACAACTTGCAGAAGTTGGTTCTCTCTGACAGGTGGGTTCTGGGGATTGAACTCAGGTTGCCAGCCTTGGTGGTGGCAAGTGCCTTTACCTACTGAGCCATCTCAGCCAGCCCAGAGGTTGTGGTTTTAATAATACAACTGGTTAGTATTTATCACTTCAAAAGTTCAAGATTATGAAACATGCAATTAAAAATATGTATGTGGTCAGCTGCATTTCATAATCATTTTAGAGATCTTTTGGGAAAAAAATCTTTAGAAGGAACAATTTCCTCAATTCTGGGTCTGGTTTTCCTGGGTCTTTTCTTAGAGCAAAGAGTAAATTATTTATTTTAAAAGCTCTCTAGGGGTTGGAGAGATGGCTCAGCAGTTAAGAGCCTGCACTACTCTTCCAGAGGACCCAAGTTCAGTTCCTAGCATCCACATCAGGCAGCTCACAACCTTCTATAACTCCAGCTCCAGGGGATCTGATTCCTGCTTCTGGCCTCTGTGAGCACCTGCACTCACATGTACACATACCCGCCCCCCGCCAACACACACATAATTAAAAAATAAAATAAATCTTTTAAACAGTTATCTCTAAAAATCCTTTGGGCTAATAACTTCCCAAACTTTAAAACAACCTATAAAACTAATCAAGTACAATAGTATCACACACATACAAAAATAACCACTGAAAGTCACTTGTTGATACAGATCAGCCAGGGCACAGACTGACTCCAGGGAGCACAGGGAGATAGAAATAGCCTTATTATAGAGAACCACAATAGTTTTAAATGGGAGTTTCTATGCAGAATTATGAATACATGGATATCCACTGTTTAGATGTTCTTGCTTCTTACTGTTTGTGTTTTTACAGTAGATGGAATCCCACTGAAATGGGACAATAGCCCATGGAAAACAGATGATGCAGAGACCCCAAAGTTCAGTGCCTTGACACAATGGGAGGAAGATCATCCCATGCCTTACCACCCCCTCCAAGGCTCAGGGACTTTTGAGAAGGTTGGCAGACAGAATGTAACAGCCGGAGGAAGGGGTGGAGTGTTAAACTGGAAGTGTACTCCAACCAGTATGCCAGCAAGCTATAGTCACACATCCTTCTCCCTTTTATCAAGGAGTCAAGGGAGGAGAAAATTACCCCTCCCACCCAATCAGGCTGCATGTAGGGGAGGGGCTAAGGATACCTAAGCCGAGAATGCCAGGAGGCACCTCTCTCACCATTTTCTGTGGCTGTCTGGAAGTCACAAGATCTGGATTTGACTGTGGCCTTTCCAGTGCAGCCATAAAGGGGGGAAAGGCACCCATTCCTCCATAAATAAACCCCAACCCTATGCTCTGTTAAAAAAAAAAAGAAAATGATAGACGTCTGGATAGATGAGAGGGATCTGACTAGACCACAAGTGGATGGACTTGTACTGGGAAACATCTGGGGACAATGACGACACAGTGGTCCTTAATACCCAGGACAGAGTATATGAGTTCCAGTGGGAGGGCTATGGGACAGTGCTGGCTGGGACAGGACTATAAAGATGATTCAGATTGTTTGAGCTATTCTGTATGAAATACAACAAAATTTAATAAAAGTAAATTAAAAATAAATACATGACTATTATAGTAGCTGACTATAGCTTTTAAGTTTATACTTTCTGCCAAAGGTTTTGAACTTTTGCTACCATATAAGACAAGGAGTTACTTGTTTCATAGCAACTCTAAGATAAAGTTATATAATCCCAGAGATATGGGGACAAGGAATCCACTCTGGTCTCTCAGTAACAGGTCCAACAAGGCCCACCATCACTTGTAAAAAAAGCACATGAGATTTAGATTGGACTCAACTTCAGACTACATCAGGTTTTCATCTGGATGACAAGCTAATAAGAGCAGCAATGTCAAAACAATATTTATTCACAAAATGCTTGTTAAGGAGAAAATACATTGGGTAGATTAACAATGCAACTTGGACCTTCCATCTCCTCTTTCCAGCTCAAATACTGCAGCATTATGTTCTCTTAATACCATTTTGGCCTTTTGTGCCTTCAGAGATCTTTCCGAAAGGAAATAATATTGTATATTATTCTCCAGTTCTATGGAGAAAAATGAGGCAGACGAAGTGACAACTAAAAATGCAATTGCATTTTTGAAAACAGGACAGAAACTCAGATTTTCTTGCTTTAATTCTCTATATTTCCACAGTAAAATATGTAACAAAGTTCCACAGATTACTGACAGTAACAGCCTATGAGGTCACATTAACAAGATTTTCAGTAATAAACTGATCAGTAGAGTAACTACAACAAAGCTCAAATGTAAAAAGTGATTCACTGTTCTATTCACACAATATTGAAAACACTGCAACATTTAAACACTTAGAAAACTGAAATGGCATTAAATAATATTGAATAATTGAAACACTACATCTTTAAGTACCTTCTGAATGACCCCCCAAAATGAAATTTTCTTCAGTATAACTTCAGTGAAGTTTTTAACAAAGAAATATATACATATACACGTGTATATACACGTGTATATGTATATATTTAAAAAATGATAATCACCTAAGATACACACTGAACCCTTATGTGACTAGACTGACTAATAAACAAAAGTCCACATAGCTTTGCTATGGACTTAAGGGAAAACCTTAAATTCTAGTCTATAGAATTAAATGTTTAAACTCTTCGGGCCTTTGATTTAATTAGCAAGCCCCCCCATTCGTTTTATAAGATGTCTGACTCCTCTGACTATCATACTTAAAGGATCCAGGTTGAATTTTGTGGAAACAGATCACTAGTAAGGTATAACCCTTCAGTCTCTGGTCTACGGCACCCCTTAGATTTCCATTCAAGGCAAGCCAGCACACTGAACCTTCCAGAGTTTTCTATGGCACTGACTCTGACCCTTTCTAGAAAACATCTTTCCTTCCCTAGGTGGAGTGTGAGCTTAATAATGGCATGTGGTGTTCCTTAGCATAACCTGCCAAAATGTAATTATTTCCTTGGAAGAGAAGCCATGGGCTGCAATCACACGTCTGAGCTGACACACATCCAAGTGTATTCTATACAAAAAGAAAAGGTTTGTGTCTTCTGGAATATGAATGTCCACTTTTAACAGATTCAAACAGATTCCAACATAAACGTCTTCAAACTTGATGGGTTTCACATGACTCATCATTTCATAGATCCTTGGCACCAGGTCTCGGGACATGATATAGCCCAAGCCACTGCAGTAGGGAGGAAACACCTTGAAGGGGTACTCTTGGTATGAGATATGGGTTTTTTGGTAAAATCCTCTATAGGAATAATTATCAATTAGAGGATAACCTGTAAAAAACTTCTCTGAGTGGTTTAAGTTTAAAAGATACTTTACCAAGTTGCCAGTATTGATGAAGACATCAGTGTCTGTTTTCATGACATATTTGGCATTGGGACAAAACTCAGTTACCCACCTGAATGCCATTATGGTTTTCAGGGTCAGGTTATTGTACGTGTCTAAAAAATCTTGCCGAATTATGTCTCCATAAAGAAGGTGTTCATCTTGTAATGACAGTGCTGACATTTTGTCTTCCCTTTCGGCCTCTTGGCCTAGTAAGAAAAATGTAAGCACTTCATATCCCCACCAAGACTTTTTTTCACCCCACGTCACTCTAACAGCTTGTCTGGCTTTCACATCTGAGGGGCGTGAGGTCACCAGGATGACCAGGAACGGGTTCTGATGAGAGCAGTTGGAATGCTCTCGGAGCGTGAAATGGAAGTGTTGTCGGTAAATGGGCTCATACTCATAGAAGTACATCCAGTTCACACGCTCGATCACATTATAGTGGGGAAGGCTGAGGTACCACATCACCAGGAAACTCAGGAGGGACAGCAGCAGGAGGCTCCATTTCAGGGATCTCAGAGACATCCTACCGGGGAGGACGGTCAAGACAGCCAGAACCATCCACAGCAGCTGAGAAGCATGGAAGGAACACGGTCTGGAAAATTTAGCAAAGGCTGGGTGAGTACTCCACTGCCCCAAAAACATTTCAATTGATATTTCTAGTAAAGGAGAAAGTAGGAGAGAGAGCCCCACAGCAAACCAAACACCCCAACCTACAGCCACCTAATGTCATCTGACCCTTGTAAATGAGCTAACACACCTAATGCAAATGGGCCAATACCCAAAGACGGCCTTTTACATCCTTTAATCATTTTCAAATAATACCTCTCATTCCACACAAATAATTGTTTATGTTGAGCCAGGGGCTTGTAATTCTAGCTACTTGGGAGGCTGAGGCAAGAACATCACAAGTTCAAAGTCAGCATGGCATCTTAGTGAGACACTGTCTCTAAATTAAAAGCAAAAGAAAGCTGTAAGCCAAAAATGTTCCAAGCACATGTATTTGTCTTCCTGTGCCTGGCGGACCCTACTCCATGCTGCTGCAGATGCCAGGACCCTAACCCTCTGTGGCTGGACAACATTCTACCTTGTGGACTGGTTATTCTCACCCATTCATCTGTCACTGGATATTTCCGTTGATTCCACATCATGGCTCCTAAGAACAGTATCCCTGTGAGTTGGCAGGTATCTGCGTTCCCCTGGATACACTCTAAGTGGGGTTTCTAGATTGTGCCCCACTCTGATCAAGCCACACCCATCATCAATTTATCCTAAAAAGTAATCAGGGAACTGCATGTTTCTTTTCATAATAAAGGAAAAATATGATTTAAATATGATCAAGGAACATTTTAAAGGAAATTTGGGAACAACCATTCAACATGTCTTCATTCACGACCTGCAATCATGTTTCCCATACTTCATATATCACTGAAAATGCAGCTATGAACATGTGCTATGGCTACTTTGAAGAGACAGAAAGATGAGTATCTATAAATCCATGTGCCATATATGCAGAGCAAGGTTCTGGAAGGTTCTTGAAGAATGTGTCCCACCATGTCAATGGTTCACACTCTTGGGAGTTGTAGGGAGATCTCTTCTCTCCCTCTCCCCCTTTCTGTGTCATTGGATTATCCATGTACTGCTGTGGTTTTCATATGTTGTCTTTGTACATAAAAACAAAGCCAGGATGCTGGATTTTATGCCTGCATGGCTCCAAGTTCCACTAAGTGGTGGTGACCCTTTGGGGCAGTTGGGAATCCTAACTGTACTATCTTTCCCACAGAGGTGTGATCATGTACAACTCAGGACATTTTTCACAGTTAATATTCTCTATTATTTTAATACATATCATTTCAACACTGGAATACTTTTTAAAGTCATTCAATTAATGTCCTAGTATACAGTTCACAGCTATGCACACAGTATAAAGTTTACAACACAGTTTGTAGTGTGTATAACACATGCCACTGGAGTACTCTTCTCCCAGGGGTTCTGTACAGCAGGTGAGATGGTGTTTTGTTTGAAAGTTTGGTTTTCATTCCTTTTTTCTTTTTTTGAGATGAGGTCTCACTACATAGCTCAGGCTGGCCTTGAACAGATAGCCCTTCCGCTTCTAATTATAGTTGTTTGCCATCACACCTTGCTAGCTGAGCTGGGCTTTACTGCACCTATTTCATAAGTGGATCTTAGAAAATTCAAATAAAGTAATAGTGAAATAAAGACTTAAAAAAAAGACTAGGGCTTATAAAGAATTTTTAAAAATGTACCAAAGGATGTATTTTAAAATGAAGAAAACTGAATTGGAGGGGAGGAAATAGAAATGCAAGAAACAAAGATAAGTCAGACGATTAGAAGATACGGAAAATGTATACACACAAACTGTAAGTAAAAAGGGCAGGTGACCCAGAGCAAAAAGATTTTTTTCTATGTGCTGGAAGAATGGGAAATTAGCGGCTAGAAAGATGACTCAGTCGGTAAGGTGCTGACTGCACAAGAATTAGGAGCTGAGAGTGATCTGCAGCACCCACATAAAAGCTGGGCATGGCAGTGTATACTTGTAATCCCAGCACTGCGGAGGTAGACAGGAGGATCCCTTGAGATTGCTGGCCAGTCAGCCAAATCAGTAAGCTCCAGGCTCAGTGAGAGACCCAGTCTCAAAAAGTGGGGTGGATGGGCTAGGTCAGAGCTCAGTGGTAGCCTAAGTTCATTCCCAGCTCCACAAGAAAATAAAATCCTTGGGAAAAAGGTAGTTATTGAGGAAGACACCTGATATCAACCTCTGGCCTCTATACACACACACACACACACACACACACACACACACACACACACGCACACCATTCCCACCCACATATGCACACATACAACAAGTGAAAATAAAATCCTGGGTAAAAATGACATGGTAGTAGGCAGGGGAGATGGGTGTAGTTGGTAACGTGGATGCCACCACATAAGTATGACCTGGGTTCAGATCCTTAGTACCTATGTAAAAGTTGGGTGTAGAGGGACATGTCTGAAACCCCAGCCTTGGGAAGTTGTGCAGTGACAAGTGGATCCCAGAACTTGCTGGCCAGTCAGTCTAGCCAAATCAGTGAGCTCTGGGTTCTCTGTCTCAAAAATAAAGTGGAGAGAGACTAAGGAAAACACCTGATGTTGACCTCTGGCCTTTACACACATGCCTCTGCATATTCTCTCTCTCTCTCTCTCTCTCTCTCTCTCTCTCACACACACACACACACACACAAACACACACACACACACACCTGATACAAGAAAGATGTTTCAAAAGAAAATTTAAGTATTCTAACACTGTTGGCTCAGGAGGAACAAGAAGATAAAATTCACTAAAGAACATATATAAGCCCTCAGCACAACCAACCAGTGGAAGACAGCTATGGAACATAAACATTCCGAACCAACTGAGAAAAAGAAACAAAGCATGCTGCCCATTATTGTCAGGAAGGAAAAGAAGAGGGAAAAGCAGAGAAAATGTATGGCAAATAGAAAACATGAGGGAGAGCAGCTATAAATCTAAATGTGCATTAGTAAGGGTAAAGAACTCACCGTGTAAACAACAGGGCTCACACAGACTGGCTTAAGGTTCTGCCATACACTGCCTAGAAGGCTCACACCTGAAACAAAACAACACCAAGTGTTCAAAAATTAGGAAGCAGAAAAACATGGATCAAGAAAATGCCAAGCAACAGACTAGGGCTACAGAGCCAGAGTCGACTCTTCACATCATCTATTTTAAATGAACAGCATTTAAATGGGACAAAGAAGAGTATGTTACTAACTAAAGGAAGCATCTAAGATAATTTAACAATTGTGAAGCTGACATAACAACAAGAAAGCATCAAAATACATGAAGCAAACCCTGACAAGTCTGTTTACAGATACAAAGCCCACACTGCCCAACCTCCCGAGTGCTGGGATTACAGGTGTGTATCACCACTCCTATTTCAAGATTTTCACTGTCTTTCTCCAAGCACTGTGATTTGAACATAATTTGTCCCCACCAAAGCTCCTGTTGGGGTTTGGTCTCCAATGCAATGGTATTTAAGGGGTTATCAGAGAAGGGGCTCCATCCCCATGAAAGGGTTGTTCCCAGTACAATAGATCAGTCATCTCTAATGAGCTGCTGTTGTAAAGCGAGGCTGGCAGCTTCCCCAGGACCCTCGTACACACACTCGCGAACACACCCACATCCCCTTCTGCTTCTCCACTGCACTTGGGGGAGCAGCATTCGGCCCTCCTGAGAAGCGAGAACATGCCAGCAGGCATGCTTTTGGGTTTCCAGAACCATGACCTTTCCCACATATGACTCAGCCACAGGAATTCTGTTCTAGCAACAGAATAGTCTATTATACTAACAGATATATCAAGCAAACAAAAAACAAGGATGCGAGATTAGTATATCATATAATCTTACAATTTTAAATTTGTGTGTATGTGTATACGAGCATACCTCAGAGGACAACTTGTATGTTTGTGTGTTTCTGTGTATGTCTATATGCACATATCTCAGAGGATAACTTTAGGAAAAAGTTCTCTACTTCTACCACATGGGTCTCAGAAACTGAACTCAGGTCATTAGACCTGGCAGAGGCTGCCTTTACCCACTGAGCTACCCTGATAGCCCGATAATCTTCATCTAATAAAAATATTTAGCAACTTTCACTAATAAAAGAGAGAATACAGTTGGTCTTGGCCTTCTGCAGCCAGAAATTCCACCAACTACATAAAGAAAACAAAGAAACAGGTGAAATGCTGGGTGTGGTAGCACACACCTGGAATCCTAGTATTGGGGAGGCAGAGACAGAAGAATGAGAGTTCAAAACCATCCTTAGCTACATATCAAGTTCAAGGTCAGCCCAGGATACACAGTGAGACCCTGTTTCAACAACCCTCCCTGGGAAAAATAAAAAACCCTCACATTCCCCCCAAAAGAAAAGCTATGCTGTGTACTTCTGGGCTGAGCACATATGCACTTATTTTGTTATCATTCCCTAAGCTATATAGAACACCTGTTTACCCAGCACTTGTACCACTATACTAAGTATTGTAATTTAGAATGTGGGCGAGAACGTATAGATCAGGGCAGCTGGAGCTACAGGGAGACCCTGTCTCAAAAAAGAACCCCTCCTGCAGTGTTGGGGACCCCTGTTGTGTAAAGTAGCAGTCTCTCCATGTCCGGATAGCCTATGGGCTCGGCTTCATATGCAGAGACTCCTTTTATCAGCAGGGTGCCTTCCCGGCATCTTCCTGACTCATCTTTGAAGTAGCCGTCACAGAAACATGGCCTCCGGCTCTGAAACTGCCAGGTTTTCCTGTGTGATTTT